AGAGGAGATCCGATTCTGGAGGGGATTGTTAAGGACGCCTTCCCTAGCCTTACCATCAGCCCCCCCCCCATCTCGCGGGTTGAGCGCCGTTGTAAACCCCGGGGTGAGTCGGATTTCCTCCGCGAGTGTCGGTTGGCCTTGAAGGCCATTCCCCGGTCCAGTGACGAAGGTCTTCTATCGTGGTTTAGTGGAGGGTCGCGCGAAGGATAAGCTACGTGACACGCTCGGCTTGTCGGAGGAGGAGTATCTACTCCAATTCTTTGAGCATCAGCTCAAGATGAAGATTAGATCTGATAGAAAACGATTGCATTCGACAGTCTTCAGCGAAAGGTGGGCAAAAGTAGCAAGCTTGGTTCGCGTGACCGGGGCTAGCCTTGATTTTCTAGGTCAACCTATGTCACATCGGGGTGGCTTCCTGTGGAACCCTCCCCTTGGTTAGGTTAGACAAGCTTAAAGTGTACCTAGTTAATGTGAGTAAGTGTTGTTCCTGGCCTGTATCCGGCTACTCTTTGGTTATGGTCCAAGTTGAGATTCCCAACCTCCCCAGTTTGTTTTGCCCCCGCCTTTATATCGACTGGGTCAGCTTTATATTTTCCCATTCCGGCATAATATTTTATCCTAATTTCCCACTCCCTTAGCGAGAGCTTCTTGATTCTGTCCCTTGGGCAGAATACAGCGGCCTCTCTGTTTTGAGGGTTGGACGGGCCCTACTAAAATGTGTTATGTTTAGTTTGCATTTTGTGTTGATTTTTAGTTATTAGTGGGTTCATCTCCCTCCCCTTGCATTCTACCATTCTTAGAATTTTATGTATAGTGCTTATGTATCATGAAATCTTTATGGATTGGGGCGCGTTTTGGCAAGTTCCCCGGGAGTGGATGTGGCATTTTGGTGGTTGAAGGATTGAATGGTGATGGGCAAGTTCTTGTGGTGAATGAGTAAATCGTAATGTATGAATGGGTCGTGAATCTGATTAGCTAGGTATAGGATAGTTAGTTAGTTTGGACCAGCCTCTACCCCTCCCCTCCATCGGCCTTGTGCCACAATTCTGTATTTCAGGAATAAATCTCCTAGTTATAGGCGGTATATACCCAAAAACCGTAACACACCCCACCACCTTTGCTCTTTTTCAACAGAGTTATCACACCCCTGGTTATCCGGTTGTGGATGGACCCCGACCGAAACCAGTTGTTGAACACCGCAGTCAAAATTGGAACAAAGATGTGCGACAGCCTCAAGTACACTTCATAGGGAAAACCATCCAGACCGGGCGACTTGCCTCTGCCGACCTTCTTCAAAACCGCGTAGACTTCGCCCCCCAGTAATCTCGCCATCGTAGCTAGCCGCTTCAGTCGGCGAAAGCCGAGAAAAGTCAGCTAAATAGCTGCGAAACTCCTCCTCACGGAGACCAGGCTCCTTGGTAAACCGGTTCTCGAAATGCCGCCGAAACAGCTCGCACATGTAGTCAGTTGCCCGAAGAATATGCCCCTCCGGGGATTTGACTTCACGGATATACCGATCGCCACCTCGACGGACCTCTTCCCTGCGCAGATCTGCACCCAAATTCACAGCTTAGGAAGACATCTTGCCTAACTTATGTCAAATTACCTGGCCCATGTAACGCTCGCTATTTGAACGATCCAGGGCCGCCCGGGAATAACTAGCCTTCACATTTTCAGCTCTATCTAGAGCGAGCCGTTTGCTGAAATCAGTGGTGAAAGACCTAATCCAACACTTAAGTCGCCCCCACTAGCTCACGCTGCACTAATCTAGTTAGCTGTTCCTGGAAGTCCCTCCTGTCCAGTAAAGACAGATTGAACTTCCAGTACGCAGCCATTCTAGGCCTATTTCCTAACGCCACCCGGGCACAAACGAGTTTGTGGTCCGAATAGCCTACCCAGTGGAACGTAGGGCAATCTAGTAGATCTATGTCAGCTCTTCTAACTAACATTCTGTCAAGGTAGCTAACTACCTTGTCAAAAAGCCAATTAAGAGCCCACGTCCGCATTTTCCCCCCGGGATGATCGACGAGACCATAATCGTCGATCAGATCAACAAGGCTACGATCGCCCCTTCTCCCACTAGCACCCCGCCCCCTGTCTAATTTGGGGTCCAGGATGGCATTCCAGTCCCCCATTAAAATTAGGCGCGTTGAATCCACTAGGAACGGCCCCAACTGCCGAAAAAACGAGACCCGCTCCTCCTGGTCATTGGGCGCATAAACCGCAACGACTCGGAACGAACCACTTTTCACGGCAATATCGGCCACGATCAACCGGCTCTCGGCATCGGTATACACAAGGTCCACCTTCGCATCAAGAGTCCGTCTGTCACGCAAAGTAACACCACTGGCAAACCGGTCCCCATATGCTGAATAAACGACAAAGTCATCCTCCAGCACACACGCATCGGAACTGCAAACAAAGTGGGTCTCTTCGATCGCGGCAACATCCACATCCAAGCCTTACCCCGATCCCTTAAGCCCCTCACATTCAGCGTCGCTATCTTGGTTTTCATTTCTAACCCTGCAACGAGTAAAAGAAGTCAGAGCAAAAACCTACTGACATACGGGGCGGAAATTTGAGGGTGAAAGGACCCCGACGGATTGCCCCAGGCTTCCCGTACCCAACTGTCGTCGTACGACCATCTGGGACAATTCCACCGACGTCCATAGGGAAGGTTAATTTGGCTGCCCTATATACGGAGGGATGGTGTAATATAGGGACCCTCCCTGCACAAAAATGTCAAAGTTTTTTAAGGTCTTGTGAATACCTCCTTGCATTCTTGAAGGAAAGGCCAAATTTTTAAATGCCCCCAGTTTCCCTAATAAAAGTAACGATACCAGGGGCTTTAGGGAAATTTTTAGGGTCCTCAACCGACTTGCCATCCACGGCAGCCAACTTAAACAGTGGACCTAGCCGGGCCTTTTTATGCGCCGACAGGTCTTTTTCTAACTCTCTCCTGTCCACCTTGCAGATAGAGTCGGGGCCAGGAAAATATTTCTTTTTCTTTTTTTTTTCCTTTCTTTTTCTGGGGAGGGCGGGGTAGATGTATGAGGTAGGGAAGAAGAGGGGGATGGGGTGGAAATAGAAGCAAATGCGGAGATGGGCGGAGCGGGAATTGAAGCACGGGAATGGGAGGAAGGAAGACTTCTGGTCATAAGCATTGCTAATTTCGGGGACCCAGGGATGGATCGTCGCCTGGATATATTCACTTCCTCGTCTTTTCTGCTAATATGTTGTTGACTAGGTTCCGTGTCTTCTTCCTCCTACCTATTCCTTTTCAATGAAGCGGCTCGAGGGGGAGGAATTTGATCCACCTGCATTTCATTGTCTGCTTCTGGATTGCTGTTATCTTGTTCAGTTGCTGCGGCTGTTGCTTCTTCGGGGCTTGTTTTTCCTTTTTCGGCCCCTTTTGTGGCAGTTTCCCAGGACTCTTCTCCACTTGCCCCTCCTTGGGCTTCTGAGGTTGCCGTTGCTTTTTGGGCGATGACACAATCGGAAGCCTTCTCTTTCGCCTCTTCCGGGACTACCACTTTGGCTGCTGGAGTTGTTGCTGTTGTCACAGGGGGCGCCGGACGCTCCGGGTTCTTGGCGGGACACACCTTTGCCATGTGTCCCAAAGTTCCGCATGACCAACAGTATGGTTTGCGCCCCTCTACAACTACCAACATACGCCTTTTCCTGCATGTCAGAACGTTTGGCATCTCCGGTGTTGACACCGTTGCTTCATTCTCGTTTAAATTGTCCGCCATGGTGGAATTTTCTTCCACCATGGCTTAAAAATTGTACCTTCACTCTTTGCCCATAGCTGGGACCCTAACGTGCTATCACTCCGGGTCAAGGTTGACCTGGGAACGCCAGCAATTAAGAGGTGGTTCCACGCTCCTCAAAACCCCTTGATCAGAGGCCTTGCTGTTGAATGCAGTTTAACGTCATACCCAGGACATTTTAGATTGTGGGGGGAGGGGAATAAAAACAACAGACTTTGAAATGTACATATGGGGACTAGTTAGGATTTCATAGAGACATTGAGGTATTATGGTGAATGCAGTAAGAAAGGTAGGAGAGAATGTGTTGTTCTAGTGTTAGGAATATTGTTGGTATGTTTGGGTCAGTATTTGTGTCCAGCTAAGTTTAGAATTAAGACAGAAGAAGGCCGTCCTTTTCCCCAACACCCCTTTTCGACCGTGTGCCACATTTTGTACTATTGTACGAATAAATATTAATATCTTCACTGTCAGCCTCTGATATCGAAGACCTAAAGAATTACTGAACAGCTGCTACTTTCTCCGAATCTTCACTACCAACCCCTGATATTGAAGACATTACGTACTTCACTGGATTCTATATTCAAAGACTACTGCAAACATGGTCAACATTTTCACTTTTGCGTAATTTATCCATCGCACCCTCTATAATTGAGATTTTTTACGGCTTATCAACCCATTACAGGTTATTTAATGCTGACAATTTCTTTTTGCTGTTAATATTTTATTTTGTCAAATGTTTATTTCTGGTAATATTTTTTTTTCCTTCAAAAAAGTATTGTTGGTAATATTTAAAAAAATGTATAGCTGGTAATAATTTAAAAAATTTTCTTTTTTATTAAAACCTATTTTTACACTTTCATAATGTTTTTACCCCAGTTTCAGGGGGTTAACTATTTGCCCACAGCTGGGACCCTAACAGGTGCTACCACCTCGGGTCAGGGAACACCAGCAATTAAGAGGTGGTTCGTTCCTCAAAAGCTCCTTGTCAGAGGCCTTGCAGTTTGACGTAGTTTAGGATGTCGTTTATCGTCAAAACCCAGGACTTTTTTGTAAGAATATTTGGGGGAGATCATGATTTAGTGATACAAGTATTACGAATTAACTCGTAACTGTGGGGGGGAGAAGTGGAGTCATATCTTTCCCATGGGTATTTGCGCGTAAATAATAATAACGGACACAATTTGATCTCCGATTAAAAATTACCAGCCATCCTCCTCTTCCTCACCCAAGCTTACAGCAGGTGGTATTCCCAAGTTGTCACCCTTACTGTTACTGAGCAGTCCCGACCTTGTTTAACTTCGGTGATCGTACGGGAACCTGTTTTTCGACATGATGTGGTCGCACGCCTATCTGATACCAATGTTACCTTACAGAAACATTATTCCGTACATATAGGTAAGCATTTAGAACAGGTGTTACCTGCCCGGATCAGGGTGGTCCTGGGAACACCAGCAATTAAGAGGTGGTTCCACGCTCTTCAAAAACGCCGGATCAGAGGCCTTACTGCAGGATGTAGATTATCGTCATACCCGGGACGGACATTTTCTGGGAAAGAGCGTGTTATCTCGCGTGGTCAAAAATTTGAACAAGGCCAGCACGCTGAGGCCCTCTGCCACAGCTAGCTACACCCAATTTCACTCACGAGGTCAACCAGTGATATGGATTTCAAACATGCCGTACGCCGAGATCGAACCCTCCAGGAATTTTCCATCCCGACAACTTGATCATGGTGAGATTCGAACCCAGGTCTCATGATTAGAATGCGAACGTTCTAACCATTCAGCCTCGGAAGTATTGTATTGCTATTTTCAACTGATGTTCTGATTTTACATTTCCTTCTGGGAATAAGATTTTTAGTTTGATTTGGTTTACGGCTTAACGTCAATAAGTTATTTAATGCCAGCAATTTTTATTTCTGATAAGGAAAAACATTTCATAAATCTATAGTACGTAATTCCCCCCCCCACGTGTATCAACATCAATAGGTTATTTAATTCTGACAAGATTTTTATTGCTGATAATTTTTTTTCAAAGTGTATTGCTGGTATTGGTATTTTTTTCCAGAAGTGTATTGCTGGTAATGTATTGGTGGTAATTTTTTTGCAAAGTATTTCTGGTATTAAAACCTATCTTTACACTATCCGTTTTGTTTTTTTTACCCCAGTTAGGAGGTTAACTATTTGCCCATAGCTGGGATCCTAACAGTTGCTACCACCCCGGTATGGTGGACCTGGAACACCTGTAATTAAGAGAGGTGAGTCCCCGCTCCTCAAAACCTCCTGATCAGAGGCCTTGCTGTTGGATGTAGTTTATCGTCTTACCCAGGACACTTGATAAGGTTTCATTGACGTATTTTTGTAAAGAGGGCTTTTGTTAAATATCAAATATACTGCTGGTATTTTTTTTTCTTTTGAATGCATTGCTGGTAATATTTTTTTTCTCAAAAATATACTACTGGTATTTTTACGATAAAAATCTTTAAACTTTCCTTGTTTATATTTTTTTTGTTTTTATGTTTTGTTTAAAAAGATGTCTTGTTAAATCTTTGGAATCTTTGGAATCTCCACACTCACAACGAAAACCTGAAAAGTTAGAATCTAACAAATCCCTCAAAACGATTTTCAGATTCGATTTCCAGTTTTCAACGAAAATTGTGAAATTTTACAAGTTTTTGGAGCAACGATAACATCTGATGTTATGCTATTTACCATTTTTTTTTTATTTCTTTTCTTTCGGTTGTAACATCGATCTTGAAGGACGTTTGAATTGCTAAAGTCATTCAATCAACTGCTGTAAAATTATCTAGCATTTAATTCAATTAGATACACACGCTTTTAAATATTTGAAAGTATTTTCTTTACACGTCGTTCCTAATTGAAAAAAATTATAACAGTCATCACTGAAAGTTTCTTTTTAAACTAAATTATTTATTTTTTTTGCATAGATTAAAATAATTATAAATACTTGAAATCTTAAAGTCAACAATCACGAAGGAAAAATACGTTACATTAAATATTTAGACAATTTCGTTTTTATTTCTTTATTTCTCATAAATGCATATTAACGCTGCTGTAAATTCACAGCTTTCTAAACATTCGCTTTTGGTCTAACCAGGCTTATTTCTGTTCGTCCGAGTCTAAATGCAAACAGTATCCATTCGAAAGAAGACATAATAGTTCTATGCATTTAAATGGTTCTCAGATACTAAACAAGTGTGATCAGTTAGAAACTAAATACCGTTTACGAATGGCCATCAAGAACGAAATTATGATACGTTGGGCCCTTTAAGAGGGTATACTGAGCTAGTGGAAACGTGTTTGCTGACTAAAGGTTTGGTTTACGGCATATCAATCTCAATGTTATTTAATGCCGACAAGATTTTTATCTCTGTTATTTTTTTTTTTTAAAAAGTATATATCGTAATATTTTTTCAAACATGCATTGCTGGTAATAATTTCTTACAAAGTATTTCTGGTATTAAAAAACCTATTTTTACACTTTCATACTGTTTTGACCTCAGTTTGGGGGTTAACTATTTACCCATAGCTGAGACCCTAACAGGTTCTACTACCCCGTGTCAAAACCCAGGACTTTTTTGTAAGAATATTTTTTTGTTTTTATGGTCTAGTTTGCTTTACGGCATATCAGCCCCAATTGATCTATTTGCCCATATCTGGGACCCTAAACCTTTTCAGGATCCTGATCAAAGGCCTTGCTGTTGGACGTAGTTTATCGTCTTACCCTGGGCGTCGTCTTTGAACTATTTACTATCCATTTGTAAATAAACAGTATACGATATTAACTGGTATTGGACGTTTCTCCATTTTTCTTTCTTTCTGTTGAAAATCCAATCGTTTTCTTTTATTTCCATATTCCTGTTTCATTACCCGAACTATATCAAAGTCCTAACGCGATCCTTATTCCACCATTGGCCATATAGCAGTGCCAACTTTGAAGGTGACGGAAAAGATTTGAGAAGAAAATAAGATTCTTTGCCCTACTTAAAATATCCTTTTGCATTAATTTTATGAACTTTATTTGGCCTTGTAAGCTGCACCTGTGTTATGTGATCCTGCAGTTCATGACTCGCCATAATTTCCTCCCTTTATAGATCTTAAATTTTGTCTTCATTTCTCGTAAACCATTAGCACTGGTCTAGTTTGCTTTACGGCATATCAGCCCCAATGGGTTATTTAATGCCGGCAAAGTATTTAATTGCTGATAATGTTTTTCTTCTAAAATCTATTTCTGAGAATAGATTTCCTTTAAGAAATCTAAAGCTGGCCATATTTTTTTCCAAAGAATATATAGCGGTTTGTATTGAAGTATTGCTGATAATTTTTTTCCTTCAAAAATTATTGCTAGTAATATTTTTTTTATTACAAAATATTTCTGGTATTAAAACCTATTTATTCACAAGTTTGTGTGTTAATATTTGCCCATATCTGGGACCCTAACAGGTGCTACTACCCCGAGTCAGGGTGAACCTGGGAACACCAGCAATTAAGAGGTGATTCCACGCCCCTCAAAACCTGATCAGAGGCCTTGCTGTTGGACGTAGTTTATCGCCTTACCCTGAACGCGGATGTAGTTTATCATCTTTCCCATGACGTGAGTCCGAGTGGACTTGGGAACAGACATTACGAGGTAGTTCCATGCTCGTTAAATTCTTCTGATCCGAGGCCTTGCAGTTGGATGTAGTTTATCGTCATACCAAGTTTACAAACAGTATTTGTGGTATTAAAACCCATTTTTACACTACCATTCCTATACACACAAGTTCCTCACCCCACTAGCGTAAACATACCTCGAATGATCTACGGGCCTTGTGAAGTGTAAAATTAGCTGTAAAATGACATGCAGTTGCATTTTAAAAACAATTGGAGAGAAAAGGACTTAGACGATGCTTTTAGAATTTTTTGATAGCTTCACTAAACGGTGTTACTATGGGGGTGTAACACACAAAAAGCCAACATCAAATTATTGGATAACGTTTCTAAATCAGCCTTGGCATGGGAAAGACCATAAAAATGTAGTTATAAATAAAAGGAGCCATTTCAAATAAAGCATAAAGGCCAATATATCTGCTAGTCTCAAAAGAAGACCTTTGATCGAACGGCTTGTATAATATCTTATTCATGCAGAGGCAAATAACATGGTTTCTTGCCAAAAACTGTCGAGCAGTGTAATTAGTTAATGTTCAGAGTTGTTTAGCAAGAAACTAGACGAATATTTTTTTTCGTGCATCTTTTATATTACCATTTGCGTTCAGACGCTTACAGATTTGATGTAGACACTATAGATAAAAAAAATCATTTCTATCAGTGAAGCCAGTTGATTATGAGCAGCTAAACGGAAAAGTCATTTAAGGGAAAGAAAAAAAAATGGCAATATATTAGGCGCCATTTTTTTTTTTTCATGCTAGCATAAGTTGTGATATATAGAACTTGGAGCTCAGGAAGGTTATCAGTCAGACTTAATAGGACTTGAGGGAAAGTGATTGGCTTTTAGATTTCACTATTTTTCATCTTTGCAGGGTCAATAGATATCGTATACATCCGGGTTTTCATTTTTAAAAATGAAGTCCAGAAGAAAATGACTTTTTGAATTGTTTTAATTGTTCGGCTTTTTATATCAACGTTTGCATAAATTGTAAAGGGTAAATGAAAATTAACTCCCTATTTTATACAGGGTGGATTCTCCCGTCTTGTAAAAAACAGGTGGTAGAGTCCATCATACGTAAAATAAGATATTATATTTCAATCACCCAGTATAGTGATTTTCTAAGCACAGCTTAGATGTGGCACAATGCCGAAAGTATGGGGCACCCAGTGAGAATCGAACTCATTACTCAGTCGTAACTGATCTAGTAAGACACACTTTCTAACCATTAAACCACGTCGAGCTGCCTCAATCACCCAGAATATGACGCGTTCGGTGGCGTAGGTTTGTTTTAGGGCATATGAACGAAAATGGGTTATTTAATACCGATATTTTTTGCGGGTAATATTTATTTCCTTCAAAAATATATTGCTGATAAAAAAATCTCTGGTAATTTATTTTTTTAATTTTTTTTTTTTTACACAGTATTTCTGGTATTAAAACCTATTTTTACACTTTCATAGTGTTTTGAACCCCAGTTTGCTTACGGTCAAATCACGCTGAAAACACCGGTTCTCGTTCGATCACCGAAGTTAAGCATCGTAGAGCCATGTCAGTACTTAGATGGGGGACCGCTTGGGAACACTTGGTACTGTAAGCCAGACCCATACTTCCATTTTCTTTATTCTTCTCCCAACTCCTTTCTCCATGTTGGACAAAAATATATATAGACCAGCAGGTGG